TCTGGGAGTTGAAGTCCACTCATCTTAAAGTGGCCAAGTTTGGACAACACTGACCTATAGTTAGATTTTCTTCAAGACAATCTCTATAACATGGTCCTTCAGGTCTTCCAATGGTGCAGCCATCTCTGCTGCAATTGAGTACATCTAGTTTGCTGCTGGTTGTCCTCTTCTTCTCTTTCTTTCCACCTTTCCCAGCATTATGGACTTCTCCAGAAAACTGAAGTATTTGACCATGGTCAGTTAGGCCTCAAGAGAGAACTCTGGACTGATTGGTTCAATGATCCATTTGTTTGTTTTTGTTTTTTAGTATCCATGATATTCCCAGGAGTCTTCTCCAACACCAAAGTTCAAAAGTGTCAATACTCATTATATCCTGCTTCTTCAAAATCCAACTTTCACTTTCATAGTGTGTCACAGGGTGACACCATTAGCAGGTCTGCAAGTTCGAGTAATAGAGCTTTACTAAAGTTCTATTACTAGAACTTTATATTAGCAAAAAGCACTTAAGTTGAAAATCATCTCTCTGAGTATGCTCTGTGAGAAAGTTTGCTAACGGTGCATAGTGAATGCATATGTGTGAATGCACATATGCACCATCCCCTCTTGTACTGTAAAGTATTTCCCAACTTCAGAAGTCTTTTTTCAGTAGAGCAGCTATCATTCACTGGACACTCAGGCATACATGTAATGCCTGTTCAGTTACAAAAAATGGTGTTGGTATCAAGCAAATAAGAGGATGGAACAAAAGCCTAAACAATATCAAGCAAACAAGAATCTATCTGTGTTTTTTGTAAGAAAAGGCAGACCCAACATGCTGCATGGTAATCACAGATGTAATGAATACACTCTCTGAGGAAGCATTACATTTTCTCTAATACAAAACATTGCAACCCCAGCGTACAGAATATGAGACATTCATTACAACAGAAATTCCACTTTAAAGCACAAAAACTAAGCAGAAGACAAACTTTTTAATACATATAAATTGTTTCTGCAGTAGGGCTCATGGGACCAGTTCATATGTTTTTCAATTTTCTAACGTGCATTCACATATTTGAACTGTGTGTACGTCTACTTAGAAATGATTTCCATAATCTTGGTGATCATGAAATCATGGTCTTTGGAATCCCCTCACTTGCAATTTGAAAGGATAGAGTTACTGCTGAGGATGTAAGCTTACTTTTGTCCAGTGTTGCTCCTTCCCCACTGAAATGAAGGGTTTAATTTTCCATTTTAAAATGTAAAACATTGCATCCTTTATGCAAAGTGAGGAATACCATCTGGCCACACAAAATGCTTTACCTGTATTTGCCTGGGATGGGTCTGCTTCAGAATCACTGCCTCCTCCAGGAGGGAGCCTTTCCACCCGACTGTTGACAGCAGTGTCCTCCTCTGTTCTCTCTGTAGCAATAGTTCGCTGAATATTTTGATATCTTGATTTTGGGAAAGGAAAGGAATGGAAATATATTAATTGCATACATATCTGAAATAAGGAAAAGTGATTTTCCAATGCATTTGTGTGTCTACTTTTAAAAGTTTAAAAATAAATGAAAACTTTTTCATTTATTTCCTGCCTTTCTGTTCCAGTAAACACTCATTTGTGAGTAAACTAATACAATTTAAAAATGAAAACTACTTCCTTCCCTCTGTTGATTGAACATCTCTTTAGAGGGGCTTTTTCGCACCTTAAGTGCTTCATTCAAACCAGGGATCACATAATCCGTATAGTTATGTTATGGGATTTGCAATTTGCTAACAAAACTAGGAAGACCATGTTTCTTGGTTTTGACTCATGGAAGACCCTAGCCAGTCAGAACATCTTCTAACCTTTTTGTTTCATAGCAATCACTGAGGGAAAAGTGCCCCACTTTAATTTCAGTGCTGCCAAGAATATCATACCCAGAACTTTGTAAGTTCTGATATTATATAAAGAAGGGATCTGTCACTGTTTCCTGCGGGTCTTAAAGAATGGGATAGTTGATATAGTGAAGACACTCAAGAAATATATAGTGGGCCTAGACTAAGATCATAACAAAGTTTAGCAGCATAAGAGCGGCCAGCACAAAAGTGCTACAAAAGAGAAACACAATACATACACTGTTGCTATCCCAGCACATTAAATTTATTATGCATTATCTCTTAAAGTACTGTATTGCTCAATATCATCTTCCATGCTATTTCTTTGACCTCAGGGAGGTTTTGCTACAGACATGTGGGTATAACCTATAATTTTACTTTATTTGTGCATATACAAACAGAGTGATTTTAAATTGTTTTCAGTCACCCTGAATGCTGCATAGGTAATGCAAGGGTGAGGCATAAATTCCTTAAGCAAACATGGTCTTGTTTAATAAACTTGTTTTGTTATTAACATCTCTGTAGAACCTGTATGAGTAATCAACATTTACCATAACAGCACAACCACTGAACTATCCCATTTATTTTAATGGGTTCATCTAGAATTAATTACTTCATATTTGAAGTAATGCTTCAGATAATTCAAGCAAGTCATATGAAGTTGTCACAGTAAAAACATGTATATAATCTAACCATAAGAAAAGGGTTAAATGGTCAAAAATGACATTTTCCAACAAATTATAAAATTTTTCCATGTTTGTTTTTGCTGAATCTTTTACATGAT